AGACGTTATGTTGGGACGTGTATACGGAGACGATAGGTTGGGACGTGTATACGGAGACGTTATGTTGGGACGTGTATACGGAGACGATAGGTTGGGACGTGTCACGTGTATACGGAGACGATATGTTGGGACGTGTCACGTGTATACGGAGACGATAGGTTGGGACGTGTCACGTGTATACGATAGGTTGGGACATGTCACGTGTATACGATAGGTTGGGACGTGTCACGTGTATACGGAGACGATAGGTTGGGACGTGTCACGTGTATACGATAGGTTGGGACATGTCACGTGTATACGATAGGTTGGGACGTGTCACGTGTATACGGAGACGATAGGTTGGGACGTGTCACGTGTATACGGAGACGATATGTTGGGACGTGTCACGTGTATACGATAGGTTGGGACATGTCACGTGTATACGATAGGTTGGGACGTGTCACGTGTATACGGAGACGATAGGTTGGGACGTGTCACGTGTATACGGAGACGTTATGTTGGGATGTGTATACGGAGACGATAGGTTGGGACGTGCCATGTGTATACGGAGACGTTATGTTGGGACGTGTATACGGAGACGATAGGTTGGGACGTGCCATGTGTATACGGAGACGTTATGTTGGGATGTGTATACGGAGACGATAGGTTGGGACGTGCCATGTGTATACGGAGACGTTATGTTGGGACGTGTATACGGAGACGTTAGGTTGGGACGTGTATACGGAGACGTTAGGTCGGGACGTGCCACGTGTATACGGAGACGTTATGTTGGGACGTGCCACGTGTATACGGAGACGTTAGGTTGGGACGTGCCACATGTATACGGAGACGTTAGGTTGGGACGTGCCACGTGTATACGGAGACGTTATGTTGGGACGTGTATACGGAGACGTTAGGTTGGGACGTGCCACGTGTATACGGAGACGTTAGGTTGGGACGTGCCACATGTATACGGAGACGATAGGTTGGGACGTGTCACGTGTATACGGAGACGATAGGTTGGGACGTGTCACGTGTATACGGAGACGATAGGTTGGGACGTGCCACGTGTATACGGAGACGTTATGTTGGGACGTGTATACGGAGACGATAGGTTGGGACGTGTCACGTGTATACGGAGACGATAGGTTGGGACGTGTCACGTGTATACGGAGACGATAGGTTGGACGTGTCACGTGTATACGGAGACGATAGGTTGGGACGTGTCACGTGTATACGGAGACGATAGGTTGGGACGTGTCACGTGTATACGGAGACGATAGGTTGGGACGTGTCACGTGTATACGGAGACGATAGGTTGGGACGTGTCACGTGTATACGGAGACGATAGGTTGGGACGTGTCACGTGTATACGGAGACGTTATGTTGGGATGTGTATACGGAGACGATAGGTTGGGACGTGCCATGTGTATACGGAGACGATAGGTTGGGACGTGTATACGGAGACGTTAGGTTGGGACGTGTATACGGAGACGATAGGTTGGGACGTGTCACGTGTATACGGAGACGATAGGTTGGGACGTGTCACGTGTATACGGAGACGATAGGTTGGGACGTGTATACGGAGACGATAGGTTGGGACGTGTCACGTGTATACGGAGACGATAGGTTGGGACGTGCCACGTGTATACGGAGACGTTATGTTGGGACGTGTATACGGAGACGATAGGTTGGGATGTGTATACGGAGACGATAGGTTGGGACGTGCCACGTGTATACGGAGACGATAGGTTGGGACGTGCCATGTGTATACGGAGACGTTATGTTGGGACGTGTCACGTGTATACGGAGACGATAGGTTGGGACGTGTATACGGAGACGATAGGTTGGGACGTGTATACGGAGACGTTATGTTGGGACGTGTATACGGAGACGTTAGGTTGGGACGTGTATACGGAGACGATAGGTTGGGACGTGTATACGGAGACGTTATGTTGGGACGTGTATACGGAGACGTTATGTTGGGACGTGTATACGGAGACGTTATGTTGGGACGTGTATACGGAGACGATAGGTTGGGACGTGTATACGGAGACGTTATGTTGGGACGTGTATACGGAGACGTTATGTTGGGACGTGTATACGGAGACGTTATGTTGGGACGTGTATACGGAGACGATAGGTTGGGACGTGTATACGGAGACGTTATGTTGGGACGTGTATACGGAGACGATAGGTTGGGACGTGTCACGTGTATACGGAGACGATATGTTGGGACGTGTATACGGAGACGTTATGTTGGGACGTGTATACGGAGACGTTATGTTGGGACGTGTATACGGAGACGATAGGTTGGGACGTGTATACGGAGACGTTATGTTGGGACGTGTATACGGAGACGTTATGTTGGGACGTGTATACGGAGACGATAGGTTGGGACGTGTATACGGAGACGTTATGTTGGGACGTGTATACGGAGACGATAGGTTGGGACGTGTCACGTGTATACGGAGACGATAGGTTGGGACGTGTCACGTGTATACGGAGACGTTATGTTGGGACGTGTATACGGAGACGATAGGTTGGGACGTGTCACGTGTATACGGAGACGATATGTTGGGACGTGTATACGGAGACGTTATGTTGGGACGTGTCACGTGTATACGGAGACGATAGGTTGGGACGTGTCACGTGTATACGATAGGTTGGGACATGTCACGTGTATACGATAGGTTGGGACGTGTCACGTGTATACGGAGACGATAGGTTGGGACGTGTCACGTGTATACGATAGGTTGGGACATGTCACGTGTATACGATAGGTTGGGACGTGTCACGTGTATACGGAGACGATAGGTTGGGACGTGTCACGTGTATACGGAGACGATATGTTGGGACGTGTCACGTGTATACGATAGGTTGGGACATGTCACGTGTATACGATAGGTTGGGACGTGTCACGTGTATACGGAGACGATAGGTTGGGACGTGTCACGTGTATACGATAGGTTGGGACATGTCACGTGTATACGATAGGTTGGGACGTGTCACGTGTATACGGAGACGATAGGTTGGGACGTGTCACGTGTATACGGAGACGATAGGTTGGGACGTGTCACGTGTATACGGAGACGTTATGTTGGGACGTGTATACGGAGACGATAGGTTGGGACGTGTCACGTGTATACGGAGACGATATGTTGGGACGTGTATACGGAGACGTTATGTTGGGACGTGTCACGTGTATACGGAGACGATAGGTTGGGACGTGTCACGTGTATACGATAGGTTGGGACATGTCACGTGTATACGATAGGTTGGGACGTGTCACGTGTATACGGAGACGATAGGTTGGGACGTGTCACGTGTATACGATAGGTTGGGACATGTCACGTGTATACGATAGGTTGGGACGTGTCACGTGTATACGGAGACGATAGGTTGGGACGTGTCACGTGTATACGGAGACGATATGTTGGGACGTGTCACGTGTATACGATAGGTTGGGACGTGTCACGTGTATACGGAGACGATAGGTTGGGACGTGTCACGTGTATACGGAGACGTTATGTTGGGATGTGTATACGGAGACGATAGGTTGGGACGTGCCATGTGTATACGGAGACGTTATGTTGGGACGTGTATACGGAGACGATAGGTTGGGACGTGCCACGTGTATACGGAGACGTTATGTTGGGATGTGTATACGGAGACGATAGGTTGGGACGTGCCATGTGTATACGGAGACGTTATGTTGGGACGTGTATACGGAGACGTTAGGTTGGGACGTGTATACGGAGACGTTAGGTTGGGACGTGCCACGTGTATACGGAGACGTTATGTTGGGACGTGCCACGTGTATACGGAGACGTTAGGTTGGGACGTGCCACATGTATACGGAGACGTTATGTTGGGATGTGTATACGGAGACGATAGGTTGGGACGTGCCATGTGTATACGGAGACGTTATGTTGGGACGTGTATACGGAGACGATAGGTTGGGACGTGTCACGTGTATACGGAGACGTTATGTTGGGATGTGTATACGGAGACGATAGGTTGGGACGTGCCATGTGTATACGGAGACGTTATGTTGGGACGTGTATACGGAGACGTTAGGTTGGGACGTGTATACGGAGACGTTAGGTTGGGACGTGCCACGTGTATACGGAGACGTTATGTTGGGACGTGCCACGTGTATACGGAGACGTTAGGTTGGGACGTGCCACATGTATACGGAGACGTTAGGTTGGGACGTGCCACGTGTATACGGAGACGTTATGTAGGGACGTGTATACGGAGACGTTAGGTTGGGACGTGCCACGTGTATACGGAGACGTTAGGTTGGGACGTGCCACATGTATACGGAGACGATAGGTTGGGACGTGTCACGTGTATACGGAGACGATAGGTTGGGACGTGTCACGTGTATACGGAGACGATAGGTTGGGACGTGCCACGTGTATACGGAGACGTTATGTCGGGACGTGTATACGGAGACGATAGGTTGGGACGTGTCACGTGTATACGGAGACGATAGGTTGGGACGTGTCACGTGTATACGGAGACGATAGGTTGGGACGTGTCACGTGTATACGGAGACGATAGGTTGGGACGTGTCACGTGTATACGGAGACGATAGGTTGGGACGTGTCACGTGTATACGGAGACGATAGGTTGGGACGTGTCACGTGTATACGGAGACGATAGGTTGGGACGTGTCACGTGTATACGGAGACGTTATGTTGGGACGTGTATACGGAGACGTTATGTTGGGATGTGTCCCGGAGACGATATGTTGGGACGTGTCACGTGTGCCGGAGACGATAGGTCGGGACGTGTCACGTGTATACGGAGACGATATGATGGGATGTCTCACGTCGGCCGGATGTCGCCAATGACGTAATAGGTGCCAAAATTCTGGATCTGCTTGTTAGCACCCCCCTTTTTTTTAGAGATGTGGTATACGGAGGAAAATGTCCTGACACTTTGTGAGTCTCCTGACACACCGGGGACACGTGTTGATATAGAAAAGACATCACAAAGTGCATTTTGCGTGATAGGTCCCCTTTAAACAACTTTAATACATTTGTATATCCATTTAAATAAATATGCCTTTTTTTTTTGTTTACCGTCTATTTCTTTTCGTATTTTAAATTTGCCTTATTTTAAACTTTATTTACAAATAAGGTTTGTTTTTACCAGATTTATATATTTGTAATATATTTACTCTCGCTTTACAAAGACTTTTTATATATATTTTTATTTTCATTGTCTCTTGTTTTCATTTGGTTTATAGTCTTTATAGATCCAGGTTCTACTGGTCCAGTCCCTTGTAGTTCTGGTTCTACTGGTCCAGTCCCTTGTAGTTCTGGTTCTACTGGTCCAGTCCCTTGTGGTTCTGGATGTGGTTCTTGACGCTCGCCACGATCTTCTCCTCGCTCTTGGACCGGTTGTAGTAGTCAAGGAAGAGTCCGTCGGGGCTGACCAGGTAGATCAGAACCGTGTGGTCCACGATGTAGTCCCCGTCGTCGTCCTTGGGCCCGGCGCTGGCGTAGACCCGGTAGTCCCGGCCCGCGTGCTGCACCTCCTCGGGGGTCCCGGTGAGGGCCACCAGGCGGGGGTGGAAGTCCTGCACGTAGCGGGCCAGCGCCGGCACGTCGTCCCGCTGCGGGTCCACCGTGATGAAGAGAGGCTGCACGGGGGGCAGCAGGGGGTCCTGGGGACACAACGTAAATACAATCATTAATTGAAAGGTCCCCCATCATGCAAAACTCCCTTTGTGATGTCTTCTCTACATCACCATGTGTCCCCGGTGTGTCCCCGGTGTGTCCCCGGTGTGTCCCCCGTGTGTCCCCGGTGTGTCCCCGGTGTGTCACCATGTGTCCCCAGTGTGTCCCCGGTGTGTCACCATGTGTCCCCGGTGTGTCCCCGGTGTGTCCCCGGTGTGTCCCCCGTGTGTCCCCGGTGTGTCACCATGTGTCCACGGTGTGTCCCCGGTGTGTCACCATGTGTCCCCAGTGTGTCCCCGGTGTGTCACCATGTGTCCCCGGTGTGTCCCCCGTGTGTCCCCCGTGTGTCCCCGGTGTGTCACCATGTGTCCCCGGTGTGTCCCTGGTGTGTCCCCGGTGTGTCCCCGGTGTGTCCCCGGTGTGTCACCATGTGTCCCTGGTGTGTCCCCGGTGTGTTCCCCGGTGTGTCACCCAGGTGTCCCCGGGTGGATCCGGGTCCCCGGTTGTGGTCCCCCGATGTGTCCGGTGTGTCCCCCGGGGTGTCCCCGGGTGTGTCCCCGGTGTGTCCCCGGTGGGTCACCCGGATGTGTCCCCGGTGTGTCCCCCGTGTGTCCCCGGTGTGTCCCCGGTGTGTCACCGGTGTGTCCCCGGTGTGTCACCATGTGTCCACGGTGTGTCCCCGGTGTGTCACCATGTGTCCCTGGTGTGTCCCCGGTGTGTCCCCGGTGTGTCCCCGGTGTGTCAGGAGACTCTCAAAGTGTCAGGAAATAAACCCCTCTCTCTTTTCCTCCGTACCCACATCTCTAAAAACGGGGGAACAACGGAGCTGATCCAGATTTGCTGCGTCATGACCACATTACTAAGATGTGGGCGGGCTTTACACCCACGGGCCAATCAGAAACGTTGCTGTCAGAAACAATGAGACGTGTTCTGGAAGTAATAGAGTGGCGAAGTCCCTCCCCTTCCGGTGGACCTCCATGGGACCTTATTTCGGAAAAGTTATGCATTGAAGTCAATGGAGAGAGAAAGATTATCTTTCGATCCCGTTTGAATTGTGCCACGAATTACACATATGATGTTTGTCAATTTAAAAGATAATTTTGCAAGTCAAAAAAATTAAAATGTGTCGTAAAACTGTGAAGTAACACATTTGTTTGTGTGAAAGGCTCAATGAACTACATCTCTGGTCAACAACACACGTCACCAAGATGGCCGTCACTACTGTCTTGTCAACAAAACGATTGACTACCCTCACTATCACCACAATGAAACACGTCCTGAAGAATGTCATGCAAAGCTGCCTGCCTGCCTTCCTTTGATTCTCTCTGAACTGCCTGGTCGTTTTAATGTTTAATGTCAACCATTTGTGCAGATAGCATGAAGTAGAGAAGATCGCCGATGCTAGCGTTAGCGTTAGCATTTCTCCCCCGGGCTTAAATGGTGTATTATAGAATGATCACACCGGTGACAGTACTCTTCAAAGGGTTCACGAAATATGACTACTACTCTTACTGTTTAACATGTTGGGTTACTTAATGTTACTTCATGTTAAGGCTAATAAAAATGACAAGGCTGTAATGCTAACTAACGTGCTAGCTACTAGCTAGCTTGATCCACACACTCCTCTTTCATCAGACGGGAAGCGAAAGAACGAGCAAGACCCATTGCTGGTATGATAACAACCTGGTACTAAGCACACAGGCATCTTGTGAAAGTTATCTGATCTTAGCCAGCGCCATATAGATAGATTATATCTATATGGCGCTGATCTTAGGTATCTCTTAGTGGAGGAAAACAATTGTGACATCACTTACGCGACTCTGGGATTTGTAGTCTTTCTAGTTGCGTATTTTTCATAGTCTTATATTTCAACAGTTTTACGACAAACTGTGACTTTTTTTGACATGGAAATGATTTTTTAAGATTGACAAACATCATATGTGTAATTCATGGCACAATTCAAACGGGATCCAAAGATAACCTTTCTCTCTCCATTGACTTCAATGCATAATTTTTCCGAAATAAGGTCCCATTACCCGGAAGTAAGTGGGCGTGACTTCGCCACTCTATATGGTCTGTGTTGACATTAGCATGCTAACACTCAGAGCTAACCTGTACTGGAGAGAGCATGTAGATAATATGAACAGACCTGGTCCAGCGTGGTGACGGCGCTGCTCAGCTTGTCCAGCTCCTCGGGGCAGATGTCGGGGCAGTGCGTGAACCCGAAGTACAGCAGAACCCACCGGCCCACGAAGTCCCGCTTGGTTCTGCGTCGGCCCGTCTGGTCCAACAGGCTGAAGGTTCCCTGACCCAGAGACACCTTCCGCAGCTGGTCCAATCGGATCTGCCGCTGCCGCTGCTGCTTCTCCAGGTAAACGAAGCCCCAGCCGGCCAATAGGGAGCCTCCGATCAGCAGAGAGACGACGAGGCGGGTCCGGAGCTTCAGACGGGCCGAGGAACCAGAACCAGAACCGCCCTGAGAGGAGGAGGGGAGGAGGAGGAGGAGAGAAGGAGAGGGGAGGGTAAATAATATGAGAACAAATGTAAACTGTAAAGAAAATAAAATATATACCATCTCAAATTAAACTAATGAATATTAAAGTGAAATAACCTTTGAGAGGAAGCAGCGCTGGGTCAGCTGAGGAAGAGGAGGAGGAGGAAGTCTGAGACATGTCCTCCTCAAGAGTCCTCCACGAACTACATCTCCCACAATGCACCTGAGGCCCAACATCTCTGCACTTCTTCCTGCAACACAAACAGTGAACAAATACTCTTGCATGTTTTTAACTGCAGTTTGAATTATAATAGAGACTTAAACCCTGAGTTCACCTGTAGTGCAGTTAGAAGTATATATACACAGATATCAAGTTAAAGAAGGATATTTCAGTACAAGTACCCTTAAAATGTGTATTTATATGCAGTATTTTGGAATAAATCGTATTTCTGTTCCTTTAAAATCACCTGAAGGTTATTACTTAAGTTAATAAGATAAAGTACCTTTTTTAACTCTTACTGTTTAATAAAAAAGGGGGATTTATGTTACTAATTTAATACAAATAGATCTTTATTTAACATTTTGTTTGACAGTGTTAAAGCAATATTAAAATTCGTGACATCAGAAATGAAGGTATTTCAGTCAAATCTCCTCACATTTAGGAATAAACTGTATACTTTAAACCACCTGATATGGATATAAATCACCCTGAACGGTGACTAAGACCTCCACCTGTAGTGCAGTTAATACAGATATCAAGTTACAAAAGGATCATTAAATAAAAACCCTAAAATGTGGGATCTTTCCGGGTTTGTAAACTGTAATTCATCTGTTTTTTATTTTTAATAAATCGTATTTTTGTTACTTTAAACCCTCCTGACATCGACATAAATCGCCCTGAAATGTGACTAAGAAATCCATCTACCCGTTAATAGGTTTATATTTAACACATTGAAACGATAAATTAAGTTTTGTAACACTTTTTGTTAGAAATACGAGCTTTTCTGTGCTAGCAGAAGCCGACCGGGCAGTTAGCATCAGAGCTAACGTGTTTAACCTGGGTCACCTTTAGCTGTGATGCTAACGCTAGCGTGTTTCTCTGCTCTAGTAAACAACAGATTGTTTGTGATAATAAATAAACATGATATCTGACCTTCAGCGCGAGAGCTCCGAACTCATGTTTCTGTTTCAGAGACAAGAAACAGTTTTAAACATATGTAACTGAGACAAACTGAACCGGAAGTGGATCTGTTTCTGTTTACAGGAAGCAGCGTCAGAGCGCGTCACTGCCCCCTGGAGGAGAGAGGGGGAACTACAGGTTGTAACATGAACTATTATTATTATTATGAATCTTTAAATATGCAAATGAGGTGTCATTTAATGGTGTTCTTTTTGTTATATAAAAAAGATCTAAGAAATTATTCATCATGATTCTGTAAAAATAGTATAATAACTTTTTTGTATTATTTTTTGTTTATAATATTTGTAATGAATAATATCAATTATCATTCATCATTTTTACTGTTTGCATCTCACAGAACCATTGACTTACACACAAAACAAAACACATTAGAGATAGAACAAATCCAACAGAGACAATGTACAGAGAATAAGCTTCATTTTGTTTTACTTTCTCCACATTTGAATGAATACGATGTGTTCTTTGTGATACTGGGAGGAGTGGGAGGTGAAGATCCTCGAAAGCCTCTTCTTTGCACAAAAAACTTCATTCTCAGATTCCCAGGAATGTCTGCTCAGCTCTCAGTCAGCTGTTTATAACACGCTGTAAATAAGAATACCTTTATCTCCCATTATCTCCCAGTGACGTACAGCTCTTACAGTACCACGTGTGTGTGTGTGTGTGTGTGTGTGTGTGTGTGTGTGTGTGTGTGTGTGTGTGTGTGTGTGTGTGTGTGTGTGTGTGCGTGTGTGTGTGTGTGTGTGCCAAGACACGCCACTGTGCACTTGCTTATTTAATCCTTCTTTATAGAAATGCTAATTCATTCCATGCTGTTTTGTTTTCTGAGAGCAAAACAAGTTCCTCGAAATCTCTTTGTGTCAAACTCCCTTCAGGTTTCCAGGAATGCAGAGTCACGTGGGTCTCCTGCTGGGGAACACACGCCTTACAATAAATGATAATGTCTTTCAGTTGATTTAAAGCCTCTCTATAATTCAGCATACATAAAGAAAGGTGTGTGTATGTGTGTGTGTGTGTGTGTGTGTGTGTGTGTGTGTGTGTGTGTGTGTGTGTGTGCGTGCGTGTGTGTGTGTGCGTGCGCGTGTGCGTGTGTGTGTGTGTCTAGTCCACCTTAAATACACGCTCCTCTCAGCACCACGTGACGCCCTTATTCTTGGAAAGTTCCTGGAAACCCTCCTCTGTGTTTACGGTTCTCCCGGTGATTAACGGCGCTCTGTCCCCGGTGAAGAGACGCGGAGGACGGACACAGTGTTCCGGAGACACTCGGTGCTTTAGATTAAATACATCGTTGCTTGTTTGTTTTTATATTTGTTTGTTTATTTACCGTCTCAGTGCCGCGCGCTTCTCTGTCCACGCGCCATTTGTGCGTGAAGAGGACCGAGAACCGGAGAGAAAAACACCGACTCTTCTGAGGATTTCTACCCGTAAATGTGACGCCATGACGGGCTACTCATGGAGGGTAAACAGGCATCGCTGGTCCTGAGCCAGCCGACTTTTAGCTTCAACTCTGAGACCCCCAGGTAATGTACACTATATATAATTAAACAAATCAACATTTAGTGACATGTGATTATTTACAAAGGTAACGGACAGGTGAGGGGGGGGAGGCACACCTGTGCTGTAACCCAGCTGGGGGGGGCGAGGGAACTGTGCCAAACTGCGTTACTTATTCTATAGATTTAAGGTTAATACGGTTTATTGTTAGTGTTAAAAACTGCAGGAAAATTAAATTATATTTTATGTTTTTATGAAACTTTAGTCTTGAATTCGGCTGCATTACATTTAAAATATATAAAGGCTGTAAAAAATAAAAATCACCTGAAGCCAAATGATATTCACTTTTTAGCTATTTAAAGTAAACTCGGTCTTTCTGCTAGCTTTTTATTTCCTGTCCTGTTTTTAATTCGTATTTATTTTTAAATTAATAAAAGCTTTAAAAAATGAATAAATACTTTATATTTTAAGCCAAATTATATTAAAAATGTAAATAATTTAAAGTAAACTCTGTTTCCTTCGGGTGTTTGAATCAGCTGGAAGATGTTATTATAATCTACCTTTTATATTACTGTCTTTCATTTAAAGTTGATAAATGTTATGTTAAATAATAACAGCTCCTTTTCAATGCAAAGGCTACCGGGTGAAACTCTTCTGACCCGAGCTCCTCCAGCAACACACACACAATCAAATACAAATCAAATACAGTTCAAGAAGTTGATATACATGTGAATAGTAATGTGATCCTCTGTGTTATAAACCTGAGGGGAAGTTACAGTGATCCAATATGTGGGTTTCTACAAACTGTTGTCAGACAGACGGGTGTCGAACTATCATGATTGATTGATTGATTGAAAAGTTTATTAACAGCTTGTATATTGGGTACAGTACAGTACAGCTCAAAACATACAATTGTTAAGGGGATGCAGACCAGAGAAAGACTTTCGTCTTGTTTACATCAGGGTCCCCCATTTCCAATTCATCATATCATTTAAGACATATAAGACATATATGACATACAGATGGCTTATTTACAATTTACATACAGGTGGTTTTTTACATACAGATGGATTATTTACAATTTTCATTTTAGATTTCGTTCTAATACATCCTAACCGGACATTTAAGACATACCAAGTCTACAGATATACAGTTAGTAACAGAGTCTAAAATGCGAGTATATACATAGATGGGGGGGGGAAGCTGTCCATTGTACGACAGGTTGAGATTTGTACCATTACCGGGGCCAGTTTTGCAATGCTTTCCCCCGAAGGTGCTCTTTAAGAGAGGTTTTGAAGGTAAGTATAGTTTTACTTTCCTTTACAGTTGTGGGAAGAGCGTTCCACCTTGATGTGGCATAATTGCGAAACGTGTATTCCCCTTTTTTTGTGCCAAATCTGGGTGTTAGGGGTTGTAATTAACATGCTGCGCTTCCCCTTCTGTCTGCCCCCCCCCCAACTTAGGACTGTAATGTGGATTGCCTTCCTTCCTGTGTCTCATCTGTATAAAGCAGTGGTTCTCAACTGGTGGGTCGCGGATGTGTGAGTGAAGAAAAAAAAGTTGGAAAAAAAAAATTGGAATTTATTTTTTTTGGGGAAAAAGTCAAACTTTTATTTTGAAGGCCCGATTTTCTTCTCAGAGTGTACCAGAATGCATAGTTTATGTTACTATTTCTAAAAATCTCCTGGGGGAGAATCCCCCCAGACCCCCTGCTGGGGTTGGGTTTCAGCATGTGTGCCTTTTTATATAGTTCAGCTTTGATTCCATCATCTCATTAAACCTTTTTAAAAGCATACTTTAGTTCTGTGAAGGGATATAAGGGATATATGCACTGTACTTCACTTTTATTAATATTGTATGCTCAAAAGCGTATATATATATTACAGCACGATTTTTTGTTGAATAGATTTGAGTGCTTCAAAATGTTGGGTCGCGATGTATTGACCAAGTAAAAAGTGGGTCCCGAGGCCTGACCAGTTGAGAACCACTGGTATAAAGGACATTAGGCGCGTTCATACCGGAGTACTTTTCCCTTTTAGTTCCGATAGTTCCAGGGATTTTGCGTTCACACCAAAAATAACCTGTTCCCCCTTTTCAGTCGCTGCTAGAGAGGTGGTTCTTTCCTGGGGAGGAAAAGGTTCCAATTTCTGATTGGCTGGGCGGATTGCAAACCACGCCCCGTAACACTCTGATTTTACACTCTGTTTTGTGAAGCCGCCATTTTATTTGCTTTATTAGCATTATTAGCACAAAATAAAACGTGGGAGCGGTGGAGTGATGAGGAGGTGACGGCGCTTCTGGCGATTTACCCCGGGACTCCGGGTGGCAGTATACGCCGTGAAGTTGTTTGCGGCCTGCCAGTAAACCCAAAGCAGAAGAAGAAGAAGTGACGTCAGTGGCTTCATTTGCCTAATCCTCCCTCAGGGACTTATTCAGGTGTGAACGCGATCTGCTAGAAAGTTCCAGGGACTAAAGAGTTCAGCGGGACTAAGTACTGGGGACTAAGTACTTGGGGACTAAGTACTGGGGACTAAGTACTGGGAACTAAGTACTGGGGACTAAGTACTGGGGACTAAGTACTGGGGACTAAGTACTGGGGACTAAGTACTGGGAACTAAGTACTGGGGACTAAGTACTTGGGGACTAAGTACTTGGGGACTAAGTACTGGGAACTAAGTACTGGGAACTAAGTACTGGGAACTAAGTACTGGGGACTAAGTACTGGGGACTAAGTACTGGGGACTAAGTACGGCAAAGTACTTGGTGTGAAAGCGCCTCTTGCCTTTCTGTGTAACGGGGTCAGAGCCTGGCGCTATCTACTCGTGCAGGACGTCTGTCCTTCCAGCTGGAAATATGATCGATTCTGTTAAATGCTATAACTCTTTATTAAATAACACGACTTTGGTTTAAGCTTGTATATTTGTTCTTTTCTTACCAGAAGGTGATTGAGTGTATGTCAGGAGATAAACCTAATCTCTACTTTTGTTCTGAACCGTCCACTCTGAACTCTGGGAAACACTGAAGTACTGGTGCTGGTCTCCAACTGGTTCATTAGTCCAATGATGAATTACACCAAACTCTGTTCACATTTCTACCCGTTCAAGTTTGGATTCTGCACGATTACACTACTCTATGTTTTTATGTATTACTATAAAGGCATGCATACAAATACAATCCGATTACTGTACTGCAGTCCTACTTCAAGGGTCGGGACTGAATGTGTTTTCTCTGTTTCCAGTGCATCCGGCTGAAGGTTGGACCAGTTCTAGGCTGATTGGGGACCCTCTTTAGTCCAAAGGTTGGACCAGCGTACGGACCGTCTTTGGGCTCCAGGCTGGACCAGTTCTGGACAGAAGGTTGAACTATCTTTAGGCAGAATATTGGTCCAGACTTACCCCGTCTTTAGGCTGATTGTGGACCATCTGTTGTCCAATGGTTTGAACATCTTAAGGCTGAATATTGGACCTGACTGAGCCCATCTTTCGGGTGAAGGTTTCTCAATCTGTAGGCAGAAGATTCTACCAGTTCTAGGCAAAGGTTGGACCATTTTTGGGTTTAAGATTGGACCAGCGTACGGCTTTTGGACATCTTGAGTTAGAAAGCTGGACCTGATCTGGACTGACGGTTGGACCATCTTTAGACTGACGGTTGGACCTGAGCGAGCCCAGCTCTGGCTGACGTGGATCTGTCCGATGACCTGCCAGTCCTCCGAGTCCACGGAAACCATCGAGAGCGACCGGCATTCGGACAACAGCTCCAGGGTGGTGGAATCAGACGAGAGCCGCATCGCCTCGGCCATGAAGGACCTGAGGAACACAGGTACGGCTGAAACCTGGTTTATTACAGCGGTCTGAACCCAGAACCAGCAGATCTTTGTTGAGATTTGAATGGCAATAAAGGGAACCACAAAAGGAAAACAGAATGCTTCGTGAAGTCAGACGGTAAAAAAAGCTTGTTTTTCTGAATGGAGTTCTGTTTGATCAAGGCTAGGCTAAGCTAACACTGTAAATCCTCCGTCTACATTCAAAATAACGTCATCAAATGATAAATGATGCAGCAGATGTATTGTTCATACCACAGTCAGTCCATGTTTTATAAACATCAGTTTCTGTACAAATACGCACATGTGGCGCCTCTAGAGCGGAAAGCCTTTGTACAGAAATACGAGGTTTTGTATCCGCTCTGTCACAGAGAACAGGAACAGACCAACAATTCAAACTATGTAAATTCATTCATAATAGTTGAAGTCGTTTTTAAATTGTGCCAGTTTTTAATGTTTTGTTATTTGCATATTGACGGGTTAATGTGTTTTAAAGCTGTATTCCTCTGCCGTAGTGTTTCAGGTCACAAATACATGGATCCTGAGATTGAAGATCAAGCCGGGGACCAGGGAGAGTTTTCTAACAGATATGTTCTTGTTTTTCATCGAGTCTCTCTCTCCCCCCCCTCAGGCTGGTACTGGGGCGGTCTGACGGCGAACGAGGCCAAAGAGATCCTTCAGGAGACGTCTGAGGGAACCTTCCTGCTGCGGGACTCGTCTCAGAGCGACTTCCTGTTCACCATCTCCGCCATGACGTCCGCCGGGCCGACCAACCTGCGCATCGAGTTCAAACACGGCAAGTTCAAGCTGGACTCGGTGCTTCTGGTTCGTCCGCGACTACGCACCTTCGACAGCGTGGTTCACCTGGTGCAGCATTACATCACGCTATCCAGGTCCGGAGACCGCGCGGCGAGGAGCTCTTCTTCTACGGTGAACTCTTCGTCCTCATCTTCCTCGGTGCAGTTGTTGTTGACGCGCCCGGCGTACACGGCCTTGCCGCCGCTGCAGCATCTGTGTCGCCTCGCCATCAACAGCCGGACGCCACAGGTTCAGGATCTGCCGCTACCCAACAGACTGAAGGACTACCTGAGAGACTACAGCTATCACGTGTAGCGCCCAGCTGGTGGGTTAGCACGTTAGCTCGGCTGCTAAGATAACGCCTCTGTGATGGTCTCAAACAGGAAGTAAGGTAACCAATAACTCCTCAGATTCATTCAGATTCAGTCCTACAATAAGAGCATTCAACCATGGAGAAACACCTGAGAGACTACAGCTACCGCGTGTAGCGCCCAGCTAGTACGTTAGCATGTTAGCTCGCTCGCTAACAAGATAACGCCTCTGTGATGGTCTCCAGCATTTGAAACAGGAAGTCAGGTAACCAATAACTCCTCAGATTCCTTCACATGCTCTCAGATCCTCTTCTTCAGTAACAGATGCTACGCTCTCTAAAACACAGAAGGCGTCTCTGACTCACCTGGAGGTCGTTTCTTCTTCTCTGGTTCTTTATCGCTCACGTACAGAGACGTTGAGTTTGACGATTTACCTTAAAGTCACAGAAAATATCAGAGAGATTTTTAAAAGAGCTTTACGACATTTACATCACCAATCACAACAGCTTGTGGAAATAAATGTAGGGTTATAATCTACGTTATTATCAATTAGTGTCAGTTAATATTTGATTTAATTTAATTGAGTTAAAAAAACATCAGAGAAAAGGTTGTTAGAGCAACATCTTGACATTTTGATTTATTATTTTTATCCCATTAAAAAGTCCCAAAATCAATTTAATTTATTTAAAAAACAAAACATCAAATGTTCATTTCTGTTGCTTCAGAAGTAGTGATGGGAATTACGGCTCTTTGAAGGGAGCCGGATCTTATGGCTCTGTTCCTTTCCAAGAGCCGTTCAAACGAGCCGTTCAAAAGAGCCGTTCAAACGAGCCGTTCAAAAGAGCCGTTCAAACGAGCCGTTCAAAAGAGCCGTTCAAACGAGCCGTTCAAAAGAGCCGTTCAAACGAGCCGTTCAAAAGAGCCGTTCAAACGAGCCGTTCAAAAGAGCCGGTTTGTTTTTAAGGGGGCGGGGTTACTTGGTTTATCTGCAAAATAATCACCAGGATAACGATTGACTGTATTGCCAGAAATCTACTTTAACTCACAGAAGATGTCTAACTTGCTTCATCTCTCGGCCGAACTCCAACTCAAGCAGCGTTACGCCATCGTGGTCTACGGCTAATGTGCATTCAGGAGAGCAAGTCCCCGTAAAGGCGAGTGGATTTATGGCCGGCAGCGAAACAACGATAAAAAGAACGGCTCTCACCAAGTACGACTCGGTTCCCTTCGTACCAAAGAGCCGTTCAAAAGAATCGAATCGTCCGCGTACGTCACATCACTATTTAGAAGTGACTCAATGAATACCGTTAGAAATAGAGAGTTACGTTGATTGTGTTGAAACTAAATCCATTTATTTAAAGACTTTATTTGACATATTTCTAATCTTGCACGGACATCTAAAGTCTCTAAAGATATTTCCAAAATGTAGTTTATCTACGAGGAAAGTGTTCAATGCTCGGACCAAAGCAAAAGATGAGTCGATCCAATGAGTCTAAATAAATACCAAAGACGAAACAGAAATCTAAAGCTCTAAAAAAGATCTTCAGTTTTTTCCCGAGGAGATTTTTTCCCATGGTTTTTCTGCAGTGGGTTTGTTGTTGTTGTTGTTGGAACGGAGGCCTCTGATTGGCTGACGGGCGACCTCGAGAGTCCACAGAGTGCGCCTCCGATCGATGAGAATCAAAACAAACAGACGTGGTGTTTTCATCTGAAACTCAACAACCTGCAGCTGGACTTCAGTCCGGATCCCACCCACCCACCCACCCACCCACTCACTCACTCCATCTCCAGAGCACATCTGAAAAACAGGGTTTCCCAAAGTGCTTCACAGCGAACATCACATCATAACAAAATACAATATTACACCAATAGATACAAGGCGCATAAAGGGGGGGGGGGGGGGGGGGGGGGGGGGGGGGGCAGGTCGTTCCAGAGCCTGGGGGCTACCGCTGAGAAGGCTCGGTCTCCCCTGGTCTTTTCCCTTGTTTTTGGGACTACCAGCCCTCAAAGCCCTCGAGGGGGGGCACACCTGTAGGAGGTCAGAGATGTGCTGAGGGGCCGGCCCATTAAGAGATTTATAATCAAACAATAACATCTTAAAATGGACAGGAATTCAAACTGAAATGAAACGTTTCGAGAGACGACTTGTGTCCTCAAAGGAGTAGGGAGGACACGAGCTGCCAACATTTACAAATGCATCAACAGATGACATTAAATACACCGAAAATAATATTTATTTAGTTTTTGATTTAGCTTTCTTATAAATTAATTAGTTTCTATTCAGTTCCCTTTTTATTTAGTTTACTTGTATTTACCTATTTTCAAATGCAGGGAGATTTATTCTTATTTCAAACAGATATAGATATTTAATACATGCATTTAGAAATCAATACAAAGTTCATATATTAAAGAAATTAAATAGGAAAGTAAATAATTAGGAGAACTAATAAAAAAGTTAAATATATAAACAAATTAAAAAATGTGTAAAAATATATAAATATTAAATTCATGCAAAATGTATTCAATATATTTAAAAAAATGTGAATAAAAGGAAATAATCGGGAGAAAAACACGTATTGTTTGATGTAATTTATTTTATCTTTGGTTCATTTAATAACACATTTACTTATTCAAGTAATTTATTTTAAAAATAATATTGGCAGCTTTTATCCTCCGTCACGTTTGAGTTACTTTTTACAGAGTTTGAACACTTTTCTGTTTATATTTTAATGTTTCTGTGACGTTAACGTAATCGTCAAACTAACCTTTTATTATTTTACTGTAAAGGTCCCATGTCACGACTCACGGCCATTTCTACTGATCATAGTTCCATAGTTGAGGTCTACTAGAATAGATTGACATTGTTCAATGTTCCAAACTCACATTGGTTTCTCAGCATCTCTGTATAGTCTGTGTATTCACTCTCTGTCCTACACGGCTTGTTGGAGCTCCTGCCCCCCCCCTCCTCCCTGTGAGCCCACTGTGCTCTGATTGGTCAGCTCGCCCACTCTGTTCTGATGAGTCCACCACCGTTACAGCTGAACATCAGTGATTATGTTTTACAATGGCGTTTGTTAGCAACCAGGAAATGACACCAGTAATGACAAACAGATGAGAATGCTGCGTCTGGGTGCCGTGTTGGGGGGACGTTGGGGGGCTCGCTGCTCCGCCCTTTGAGGCTCGAGGAGTGGACAGTGTGAGCTGGGTTACTGGGGTCCTTTCCTGGTTGCTGCGTGGGGTCTGCGAGACACAGAGGAACTCAGAGGCGTTCAGGGGCAGCAGGTCTTCTCTGTGTCAGAGCTTTAGTCTCTACAGGGTGCACTGTGAGGGTTAGGGTCTCTGCAGAGCGTTCACATGCAGAAGCTCCAGAACACAAGGGGACGGGTCAGAACCAGAGAAGCATGGGACCTTTCAGAATCATTTCAATCTGTGGTTTCCCAGCAGGTCGCTCAGGGAAACGTCTGTTCCTCTTTATACATCTGGTGCATGTTTTATAATAAAAACCCTGGAAATGAATCTTTATTCCCGAACCTAACGAGCAGATCTTTGTACATATCTCCGCTGCAGCTCGGTTTCACATTTTTACAGAATATTTATTGATTGTGTGTTTTCTTTTGTAAAGCCTCTGAAAGCATGTCGTGTTGATCAGCTCTGTGAGATCAATAAAGTTTTATATGGTGCTTCATCACCCTGGTGTTTGTTTATTATTATTATGATTATTGTTATTATTATTATTATTATTGTTGTTGTTATTATTATTATTATTATTATTATTATTGTTGTTGTTATTATTATTATTATTATTATTATTATTATTATATACACCTGGCACTAATATTCTTCCCTTTTTCACTATGATTTAGGGATGTTTAAAATGTAACCCTATTTCTCTAATTGTATTAAAGGTAACAGGAAGTTAATCATTAAGTGAGACTAGCTAGGAGTGTTTGTTTTCACAGGACTCTTAAAGAGAGGGCAAAAGTACAAACATCCTTTACTCAAGTAGAAGTACAAACATCCTTTACTCAAGTAGAAGTACAAACATCCTTTACTCAAGTAGAAGTACAAACATCCTTTACTCAAGTAGAAGTACAAACATCCTTTACTCAAGTAGAAGTACAAACATCCTTTACTCAAGTAGAAGTACACACATCCTTTACTCAAGTAGAAGTACACACATCCTTTACTCAATGTCAAGTACACACATCCTTTACTCAAGTAGAAGTACACACATCCTTTACTCAAGTAGAAGTACACACATCCTTTACTCAAGTAGAAGTACACACATCCTTTACTCAAGTAGAAGTACAGATACTCGTGTTTAAAAATACTCTGTTGAAAGTAGAAGTACTGACTAAACTTCTTTACTCAAGTGAAAGTAAAGAGGCTTTGAAATGTACTTCAGTAAAAAGTACCCATAACTAGCAGCTGTTTTAAAGAGTACCTGACCTCCCTTTATATTAATAGAACAATAATGTCATTGTTAGCTAATGAATGTTTCCATGCTGAACAACGGCAACATGACAACGTTTTCATTGGTCCCTCTTCTTTAGAGAAGACCAGGAAATGATGGATACACGGATCGTGTTCAAATCAATAGGCACGCAATGACTCTAAAGAATAATGATCACGCCACCAAACACACATTCAAACTAAAGGAACCAGCCTGTTTGGAAAATGTGAGAAGTAGAAAGTACAGGTATTTGGGTTCAACATGTAAGAAGTAGAAAGTACAGGTATTTGTGTTCAACATGTGAGAAGTAGAAAGTACAGGTATTTGGGTTCAACATGTAAGAAGTAGAAAGTACAGGTATTTGGGTTCAACATGTAAGAAGTAGAAAGTACAGGTATTTGGGTTCAACATGTAAGAAGTAGAAAGTACAGGTATTTGGGTTCAACATGTAAGAAGTAGAAAGTACAGGTATTTGGGTTCAACATGTAAGAAGTAGGAAAGTACAGGTATTTGGGTTCAACATGTGAGAAGTAGAAAGTACAGGTATTTGGGTTCAACATGTAAGAAGTAGAAAGTACAGGTATTTGGGTTCAACATGTAAGAAGTAGAAAGTACAGGTATTTGTGTTCAACATGTAAGAAGTAGAAAGTACAGGTATTTGTGTTCAACATGTAAGAAGTAGAAAGTACAGGTATTTGGGTTCAACATGTAAGAAGTAGAAAGTACAGGTATTTGTGTTCAACATGTAAGAAGTCAAAGTAAAAAGTCGTCAGAAAAATAAGTAGTGGAGTAAAGTACTGATACCAGAATCATGTACTTAAGTAACAAAGTATTTGTACTCCACTACTTCCCACCTCTGGAAATAATAGACTAACAAATATGAACCCGTTTGGAAAGGGCTGGTATTTTTGGTTGATTCGATATATTTGACCAAACAAAACGAGATGTAATAACAACTGTAATCATAACATTAGATAATCTTGTTAGCCTGCTATCTTTAGCATGGAAAGAGTCTCGCCAGAAAAATAATAATAATATTGCAAGTTTATGATATTCATTTATTGGTTGATGATTTATAATTTAAATAACTCTGATATTTAGTTGTGTTTATTTACTGAAACTGAGCCGAAGATTTCCTTAATTATTTTAAACTAACATACATCTTTGAAACAACATATGAACATTAATGGCTTCGTGTTGGTCTTGTGGATATTTCGGCATGTATTTTATGAAAGAAAAAGCCTTTATTTTGATACAAATATTTAATGTAAGCCTCAAGCCTGCACGATTAGCTGTCTTAAGCTAACGTTAACACTCAAGCTACAAAACCATCGACCAATCGAAATATCCCTCGATTTCTTTACTTTTCGTTAACAGTTAACGCTTGGTGGGACATCATATAAAACGTGAGTTAAATATATATTATTATAATGAATTCGGGACATATTTGATCAACTTAGTGGCATTTATTTCCACAGAAATCCATTATTTCAGCATTAGCTTTCGCTCCTGTTCACCACTTCAGACCGAATCAGGACCAATGGTTACGGTTTTATACAAAGAAAATCGATATTTGGTTTATTAAAGCTATGCCGAATTAAAGAGTGGTTTATAATTATCCACTAGATGTCATTTTGGAACGAACTGTAAGGTTTTCCCTCAATTTGAAGATGAAAAACAAGAAGAAAAGACAAACTGAGTGGTCTGTAAAACGTTGGTTCCGCTTGGGGTGTTTCCAGTCGGACACAATAACAAAATAAACACTATCCGGTCTAGAGAGGAAGACCCTGTGTTTTCTTGATGATAAATCTTCTCAGTTTATTCTGATTTAAATCATATAATAATAATAAAGGAACAGTCAACATGGAGCCGGCCCACAGAGCCCTGCTGCGGGAGCACCGGCTCTATCTGTCCGGGCAGCTGCTGGTCTCGGACTCCATCGTTCCGCTTCTGTTCCAGGAGGAGATCCTGACGGAAGCCCAGGTGGATCAAATCTTGTCTCAGCCGTCAGAGAGGCTGAAGGCCCTGGAGCTCCTGACCCTGCTGCCGGCCCGTGGCCCGCGGGCCTTCAGAGCCTTCATCCGGAGCCTGGAGGACCACAGCTGGGTCCGAGAGAGGCTAGAGGCGGAGCTCCAGGAGGTAGATGGAGCCCGAGGAGCCGGACGAGATACAGGTGAGCACCGAATCTCCAGACCAGAAATAATACAAAATATATATTTGTATTATGATGATGATGATGATGATGATGATGATGATTATTGTATTTATTCAGTTTGAATGAGCAGGATTAAAGGCATCTTTATTTACATATTTTCCTCCAGGATTTAATCTGTAAGTAAATTGTTCTATTAATGAATGAAGGTAATATTCTATAAATAAAAGTAACCCTAAATTAAGGTCAAATAAAACATTAATGAATATCTATATTTATTTTTTCACGCCCCCCCCCCTCAGACGCCCCCCCCTCGCTGACGACCCCGCCCTCGCTGACGACCCCGACCCCCCCCCTCGCTGACGACCCCCCCCCTCGCTGACTACCCCCCCCTCGCTGACGACCCCCCCCTCGCTGCAGACCCCCCCCTCGGACCGGGTCTTGTCCCGCCTGGCGGCCCGGCTGGGCTCCGGCTCTCAGGAGGTTCTGCTGGACCTCGGCCTGTCGGCGGAGGACGTGTTTCGCTGCCGGACCGATAATCCTCTCTGCTCCCACAGCGCTGTGTTGGCAGGGCTGGTGCTGTGGAGGCAGCGGGGGGGCAGGGGGGCCACCATGAGGAGGCTGGAGCAGAGCCTGGAGGCGGCTGAAGTTCATCCATCCGTCCTGCAGGGGGCGCTCACATGATGGTGTGTTAAATATACTACGTGTTTACAGCTCCGTCCTGCAGGGGGCGCTGCTCTGACGTGTTTACAGCTCCGTCCTGCAGGGGGCGCTGCTCTGACGTGTTTACAGCTCTTACATTGAATGACATGTCTCTTATTAGTGTCTTCAGGAACACGACGACACGCTGCCTGCAGGGGGATTGAACCAGCGCTCCCCTGAGACCACTGAGCCACACCCTCCCTCACATTCACCTCTTGTTGCCCTTCAAAATAAAAGCCCTGCAGCTCTAGAGAAACACCATCATGAATACACCTGTCTGTCTCTACTGGGACCTGTCTGTCTCTACTGGGACCTGTCTGTCTCCACTGGGACCTGTCTGTCTCTACTGGGACCTGTCTGTCTCCACTGGGACCTGTCTGTCTCTACTGGGACCTGTCTGTCTCTACTGGGACCTGTCTGTCTCCACTGGGACCTGTCTGTCTCCACTGGGACCTGTCTGTCTCCACTGGGACCTGTCTGTCTCCGCTGGGACCTGTCTGTCTCTACTGGGACCTGTCTGTCTCTACTGGGACCTGTCTGTCTCTACTGGGACCTGTCTGTCTCCACTGGGACCTGTCTGTCTCCGCTGGGACCTGTCTGTCTCCACTGGGACCTGTCTGTCTCCACTGGGACCTGTCTGTCTCTGCTGGGACCTGTCTGTCTCTACTGGGACCTGTCTGTCTCTACTGGGACCTGTCTGTCTCCACTGGGACCTGTCTGTCTCCACTGGGACCTGTCTGTCTCTACTGGGACCTGTCTGTCTCTACTGGGACCTGTCTGTCTCTACTGGGACCTGTCTGTCTCTACTGGGACCTGTCTGTCTCTACTGGGACCTGTCTGTCTCCACTGGTACCTGTCTGTCTCTACTGGGACCTGTCTGTCTCTACTGGGACCTGTCTGTCTCCACTGGTACCTGTCTGTCTCTACTGGGACCTGTCTGTCTCTACTGGGACCTGTCTGTCTCTACTGGGACCTGTCTGTCTCTACTGGGACCTGTCTGTCTCTACTGGGACCTGTCTGTCTCCACTGGTACCTGTCTGTCTCTACTGGGACCTGTCTGTCTCTACTGGGACCTGTCTGTCTCTACTGGGACCTGTCTGTCTCTACTGGGACATGTCTTCATGCTCTAATGTTCAAAAAGCTTTGAAACCAGAGCCCAGTCTCTGAGAAAAAGGGACATTTTGAGAAAAAGGGACATTTTGAGAAAAAGGGACATTTTGAGAAAAAAGTACAATTATTATTAAAAAAAAAAATCGAATTGTGAGAAAAAGTTTAGACATTTTGATAAAAATCTAATTTCTGACTAATTCAAATTCTGAGAAAAAAAAACACATTTTAAGAAAAACGGACATTTTGAAAATTCAAATTAAGAGGAAAAAATGAATTAGTGAGAAAAGTGTTAAGAGTTGTAATTATTGATGAAATAAAGTCTTTGATCTTCAGATTGATATTTGTTTTTTTTACACTTTTAGAAATCCTGAGGAGAAAATCTAGGTCATTTATTTCTGTTTGAGTTATTTTGATTATGTTTCATATGTTTTATGATTATGATGATCTGAAATGTGTTGTGTGTCGCCATGCCTCACCAGCAGGGGGCGCTCCCTGCTGGTGAGGCAGGGCGCCCCCTGCCTCACCAGCAGGGGGCGCTCCCTGCTGGTGAGGCAGGGGGCGCCCTGCCTCACCAGCAGGGGGCGCCCTGCTCTCAGGAACACACATGTATTGTTCTTCAGACTGCAGAGCCGTGGCTCTAACCAGAGACTGAAAGGTTAGAACAGACAATACTTTAATACTTTACTTTGAATCTGGCTTCAAATTTAAATATATATAAAAATAATAATAATGTATTTTAAATAATAAAATATAATTGTTATTACATGTGTTGTGGTTTGAATGAGTTGCTTTAATAAAGATGTGACACATGTAGAGCTGCTGCAGATGATGAAGGTGATGATGGTGATGAAGAGGAGGAGGAGGCTGCTCTTCCTCCTCCTCCTCTTCCTCCTCAGGGCGGGGCTTCTCTCGGCTCCATCCTCTCACGGACCCCAGGATCAGCTCCTCTCTGGCGGCGGCGCGCAGCCGGAGCGCGGCCTCTTTTCCTCCAGCGAACAACAGTTTCTCACGAACAACAGCTTTAATACCGGCGAGGCGAGCAGCTGATGAAGAGGAGGGTGAGGAGGTGAGGAAGAGGCTCGGCGGCGGGTAGCTGCGGACTCATCGCCATTGTTTGGATGCGGAGAGAGAGAAAAGGACCCGGATGAGAGACAGCATGCCCCCCCCACTGCTGATAACCCTGCTCTGTCTGCAGCTCCTGGTAACACACACACACACACACACACACACACACACACACACACACACACACACACACACACACACACACACACACACACACACACACACACACACACACACAGTTGCAGGTTACATGTGTTCATGTGTTATATGTGGTTTTATATATGAGGTGATTAGTGCTGATGATGGAGATGCTCCGTGTGTGTGTGTGTGTGTGTGTGTGTGTGTGTGTGTGTGTGTGTGTGTGTGTGTGTGTGCTCCTGCTGAAAGTGGGTCAGTCACAGTCCTGCTGCATGTCACACACACACACACACACACACACACACACACACACACACACACACACACACACACACACACACACACACACACACACACACCACTCTGCTCAGGTTCTGCCTCCGTAACGTGTTGTTTTTCCAGAAGAAAACATCAGAACATGTTGTTTACTTGTTTACTTGTTTACTTGTTTACTTGTTTACTTCACTGAAGGAGCTCCCATGTGGCTCGTTGCTCATGTTGTGCTTTGAGTGAAAAACATCGTGACATTTTGGATTTGTTATTTTGTTATCATGCACTGGACAACATGTTATTTAAACAACAACAACAAATACATATTTATGTGTTCATTTGAATATAACCCTCCATCAGGGTCTTTGCCCTGACACCTCCTCATGTGGTGGGCAGACCCCTCAGCTCCTCATGTGGTGGGCAGACCCCTCAGCTCCTCATGTGGTGGGCAGACCCCTCAGCTCCTCATGTGGTGGGCAGACCCCTCAGCTCCTCATGTGGTGGGCAGACCCTCAGTTCCTCATGTGGTGGGCAGACCCTCAGCTCCTCATGTGGTGGGCAGACCCCTCAGCTCCTCATGTGGTGGGCAGACCCCTCAGCTCCTCATGTGGTGGGCAGACCCCTCAGCTCCTCATGTGGTGGGCAGACCCCTCAGCTCCTCATGTGGTGGGCAGACCCCTCAGCTCCTCATGTGGTGGGCAGACCCTCAGCTCCTCATGTGGTGGGCAGACCCCTCAGCTCCTCATGTGGTGGGCAGACCCCTCAGCTCCTCATGTGGTGGGCAGACCCCTCAGCTCCTCATGTGGTGGGCAGACCCTCAGCTCCTCATGTGGTGGGCAGACCCCTCAGCTCCTCATGTGGTGGGCAGACCCCTCACCTCCTCATGTGGTGGGCAGACCCCTCAGCTCCTCATGTGGTGGGCAGACCCCTCAGCTCCTCATGTGGTGGGCAGACCCCTCAGCTCCTCATGTGGTGGGCAGACCCCTCAGCTCCTCATGTGGTGGGCAGACCCCTCAGCTCCTCATGTGGTCAAAGCATGAGTTTGGGTCTCTTCCCCCGGTTCACCTGCATGCATTCACAGCCTGAGCGCGAACTCGCTCCGAGTCCTTTGGAAAGAGAAATGAAAGTTCTCCAGTGTGTGTGTGTGTGTGTGTGTGTGTGTGTGTGTGTGTGTGTGTGTGTGTGTGTGTGTGTGTGTGTGTGTGTGTGTGTGTGTGTGTGTGTGTGTGTGTGTGTGTGTGTGTGTGTGTGTGTGTGTGTGTGTGTGTGTGGTGTGTGTGTGTGTGTGTGTGTGTGTGTGTGTGTGAAGATTTGGGCCAAAACTCGGACCAAACGTTTTTTTATAAGATTTAAAGAAACAGATATTAGTAAAATAAAAAAAAGGGAATTTGTAATTATTTTTGCTAAATTTGGGGATTAATAAAAACATATATTACAAGATTATAAAAATAATCAAATAGCTCAAAATAAACAAGAATTTGTAAATAAATCTATTTGTAATATTAATAAATACAAATTAAATTAAACAAAAGTAAATGTTTGTGGTTGAGGTAATACATAATAATAATATTATCTAGTAATAAAGAGTCCAGGAAACACCGTCTGAAGTGAGAGACCTGGAGCTGAGAGACCTGGAGCTGAGAGACCTGGAGCTGAGAGACCTGGAGCTGAGAGACCTGGAGAGACCTGGAGCTGAGAGACCTGGAGCTGAGAGACCTGGAGCTGAGAGACCTGGAGCTGAGAGACCTGGAGCTGAGAGACCTGGAGCTGAGAGACCTGGAGCTGAGAGACCTGGAGCTGAGAGACCTGGAGCTGAGAGACCTTGAGCTGAGAGACCTGGAGCTGAGAGACCTGGAGCTGAGAGACCTGGAGCTGAGAGACCTGGAGCTGAGAGACCTTGAGCTGAGAGACCTGGAGCTGAGAGACCTGGATCTGAGAGACCTGGAGCTGAGAGACCTGGAGCTGAGAGACCTGGAGCTGAGAGACCTGGAGCTGAGAGACCTTGAGCTGAGAGACCTGGAGCTGAGAGACCTTGAGCTGAGAGACCTGGAGCTGAGAGACCTGGAGCTGAGAGACCTTGAGCTGAGAGACCTGGAGCTGAGAGACCTTGAGCTGAGAGACCTGGAGCTGAGAGACCTGGAGCTGAGAGACCTGGAGCTGAGAGAGAAATGGATTACAGTCTGAGACCAGATTCACCGATACTGAGATAAACAGAGGGAAATAAGTCAGGGTAGAAAGCTGATTTATAGCCAGGTCTAAACTGTGCACAGA